ACCAGTCTAGTCCTTTTTTCTCTCTATCAAAGCAGTGATACCATCTTTAACTTACTCAGTCCTGGGTTCAGGTTGATTTCATTGATGCTCACTTCCCCCAAATATTCACATGTCAAAATCCTGCCCATAATTTTACCCCTGAACTTATCATGCCTACGAGGCTTTCTCACACTGTCTTCCCCTTTGTCATAATTGATCTTGTTCTTTGAATGGCTGAGTACCTCCATGCTTCAGTCTTTTTTTCATGTAGTTCCTTGAAAGATAGGGTTCCCTTTTAAATTCCATTTTTATCAATTATAAAGCTAACTGAAACAATGTATTAGCAAGAATTCTAAGGACACACTTAGGTTCCTCAAGGCAAAAGGATACCTAAGCCATACTAGATAGTACATAGAAAACATCTAACTTGGTTGTAGATCTCCATGTTTTCTAAACCCAGCTTGATAGTCTGTCCTTGAAGACATCTATCCCTGAAGCTTCCATTGAAACTCATGCTCAGTTTCATCTTTAAACACCTCAGATCTTCATTTTAAAATTTCACAATCTAAAATAACAAATTTTGTGTTTGAGATAGTATAGAGTAGAAAAGAAAGATATAAAAAAGCTAGCAATTTTCTTTAAGGACTTTCTTCATAGGTGAACATAGAAACCAGGAGAACAAAGGCAGTGATTTGATGTGTACATCAAATTAGAAAATAGAATTGTAGAAAATAGAATTTTTTAAACATTTTTTAAAGTTTTTTATTTATTTATTATGTATACAGTCTTCTGCCTGCATGCCAGCAGGAGGCACCAGAGCTCATTCAAGGTGGCTGTGAGCCACCATGTCGTTACTGGGAATTGAACTCAAGAGCTCTGGAAGAACAGTCAGTGCTCTTAACCATTGAGCCATCTCTCCAGCCCTGAAAATAGAATTTTTGAAAGGCAAAAGCCACATGCATGTTTAGAATGGTGGTTTGATATAGTGTGGGGGCTGGGAATTCTTGATTAAGACCAACAGCTACACACATGAGCATAATCACAAATATGCATGAGAGCAGATGCACTCACAAGGCCAAGTAGAGGTTATTCCTCACATATGGTGATGGTTCGATATTAGAAAAATTACCAACCAAAACTTTGGTATAAATCTATTGTAAAATTTATCAGACAATTTTAAAAGCCCAAGTAAATGAAGAGTAGAAGAAAGAGCTTAGGTTTAATGAGACTTATGTGATCATATGCTAGAAGTACATGGGAGAGGAAGGAAGATGGGGAGGGAAAACTACATGGTTATATTATAATCTCAAAAATTAAAAAATTAAATGCATGCAATTCAGAAATGCTCACAATTTCTATTCTATTTTAAAAACCCTGTACTTTGAGCTTTCTGGTCCAGCAGATCCTGCCAACCTTCTCTGCCCCAAAGAAGCACACAGATGCTATATTAATTATGAAACAGTTGGCTGGTTACTTGAGCTTCTTATTTGGCTAGCTCTGTCTTAATCATTAAGCCATCTCTATTAATGTAAGTATTTCCATGTGATCTTATCTTACTGGGGAGGAGTCTGGACCTGTTACTCCTCTGGCATCCTACATGACTCTCTGCCAGAATCTTCCTTGTCTCTTAGTCCCACCTATCATCCTGCCTAATTGGCCACAGTGCTTTATTCATCAACCAATAAGAGAAACATATGTACAGAAGACATCACCATCAAAACCCTTTTAGAAAATTAACAGGATTAAAAAATAACTGGTGCTAGGGTAACTCCCAAGAATCCACAAGGAGAACCCCAACTAATACTACTAACAATAATAGAGAGGATACCTGAATTGGCTTACCCCTCTATCCAGATTGATGAGTATTCCAACTATCATCATAGAGCACTTATCCAGTAATTGATGGAACCAGATGCAGAGATCCACAACCAAGAACCAGGTCAAGCTCTGGTAATCCAGGTGAAGAGAGAAGGAGGAAATATATGAGCAAGGAGGTCAAGATCATAATGGAGAAATCTACAGAGACAGTTGAACCAAGCTTGGTGAAAAGTAATGGACTCTAGACCTATAACTGTGGAGACTCCAGGGGACCAAACTAGGCCCTGCATATGTGGGAGACAGTTGTGAAGCTTGGACTATCAGACTGGCTCCTGGCAGTAGAACCAGATACAAATATGATACATGAGCTAGCTTGTTGGAGCCCATACCTTAGTGTGAGATGCCATGCTTAGAGGCAGTAGGATCAAACCATGATATAATCCCAGTACATGAGCTAGCTTGTTGGAGCCCATTCCCGTGGTGGGATGCCATGCTCAGTCTTAATGCATGGCAGATGGGCTGGGCCCTGCCCCAAACTATTGTGCCAGACTATGTTGACTCCTCATGGAAGCCCTTACCTGTGAGGAGGAATGGACTGGGAATGGGTTAGCAGGGAGGTGAGGGAGGGTGGAAGGAGGTGAGGGGGGATGGGAGGAGGGATGGAAGGGAGAAGTGTAGTTGGAATGTAAAGTGAAATCAAAAAATTAAAAATTGGAAAAAAGCAACTAAAACATTACAAAATAAGAGTGAAGCAGGCATTGCATTATATGCAGAATGTATTTTTTTGTACAGAGACATCCAAAAAATGACTTGCAAAATGAAAAGAAATAAAATCATTATATAAAATAGTATGTGCCCATTAGATTAGAAATAAACTTATCAAAATGGAAATTGAAAAAAATCATTCCATTTGCAATAGAGACAAAAAATCCCTGTAAACATTGAAGAATGAAATTAGTTAGATAGAGATAGGACCTACATGAAGAAAATAATACCATGTTATTAAAGGTCTCTAAATACAACCTAAAAGGATGGGAATATATAATACATGAAATTGTAAATCTTCCTCATATTTTTGTAGAAATTCAATGCAAGGTTATATCAGAATATCAGACTTGTGTTTCTTATGTAAAAAGTAATAACCACCAGTGTTTTTGAGTGATTCCTCTTTGCCAGATGCTATTTTAACAGCTTTAATTGCTCAATAGTTTAATCACCACATTCAACATGTACAAAGATCAAAGACAGAAGACACACCAGCAGGATATATTTGCAACAAAACAAAACAGTGATTGCCATTTGCAGGTTCAGGGACAAGGGGGTGAAGTTGGTCAAAGCATAAAATTTTCAGTTATTAGAGGAAGAAGTATAGAGACCCAATATGCAAAATGGATGACTTTGTAGCTTGATTGTAATAATGGGATTATATGTTTAAAATTTTATTAAATGTTCTTACCACAAAACAAAATACATAAAAGGCTAATAATATGGAGTAAAGCTGTATCTACTGACTGAATTGCAATAATCATTTCAAAAATACATGAATAGCAAATTATTCTATTGTAAGCCATAAAATAGTAGGATTTTCCTTATTAATTTCACATCCATACAGCCAGGAGGGGAGAAAGAGATGAAAGGAGTAGGGAAGGGGGGAGTAAAGGAGAAAGAGAGAGAGGTTGATTTATTGGTCAGGAAAGTACCTCTAATACCGGTGATATTTTCTTAAATAAATTGTGAATAACAGAAAAAATTAACATTGTTCAAAATGGAAACTAAAACCCATCAAGTAAAAGCCTCAGCATGTGTGTTTGTGTGTATTTGAGCAGGGCTTTGAAGAGTCTGAAAGGTTACATCCTAAACTGCTAAAATAGTTATCATGGAGCGAATCTTAGTTGTCACTCCCATGCTGTGAGAACACTGTTTGCATTAGTGTTAGTGAGAATTAAAGGGAAGGCAGTTGGGGGATGTGATGCAGAAGAGCACCTGAGGTTTGGCAGCTATTTGGGTGTGAGTAGGAGGTAAATGAAGAAGTCAAAGACGGCTCAAAATTTCCATCCTGGGGCCTGGGGACTGCAGCTGCCGTTTATGGATATGATGGGGAACAAGATGAATTCTTTTCATTGTTACCAGAGGAGAGACTATGAGTTCAGGTGTCAATCAAAGTAACAGTGCTTCTTGTTTTAAGTAATAATTGCTCCATGAGGAAAGCTTTCTACATGGATCTTAAAACCTCAAATAAAGTACAGATTTGATTAAAGGGTGACTTTGCAGTATGGAATTCTATCTCAGTAAAGTTTTCTTGATGCAGCTTTATGATGGCCTTTCCTGTGAATTGTGGTGCTGGGCTCCAGATTGCTCACTACTGTTCTTTCTTACCCAGGCAAGTTTTAAAATTAAAGAACATTGCCTTCTAACCAGAAAAGAAATGAGTATCTTAAATAATCTCAGGCCTGTGAAGAAGGCAAGTTCTACTGCTGTATACAAAATAGCTGAAACCAAAAAAAAAAAAAAAAAACAACAACAAAAACTTTACATTTTTACTAAGTGTTGTTGTTTAACATATTCCATTAGGCAGCCCTGCCTAAGTCTCCGGACCTATAAACAGCATGTGCACAGTGAGTCCAAGGAAAGAAGCATTTGAATTGAGCCCCATTGAGAATTTGTTTCCTGAAAATACTGTCAAAATGCTGGGAGAATTTATTTCTCTATAAGTATGTCATATTTTATGTTGGGTCTGAAATAGAAGTGTATAATCAATCAGTAGGAGATATTTGCATAAATGAATGAGTCAATACAGTCACCTGAATAAATCCTTTTAATGTTAATCTTCAGTTATGTGGAAGTCAAATTCCTTTGCACATCTTTATCTTCCATTCCTCATTCACTGGATTTTTTTTTTTTTACTTCTCACACTATTTCTGTTATTTTTTCTTAAGTGAATTGTATAATATTCCATAGGCAATATTTTCCCCACTGAAATGGCTAGCTGTAAACAGAGTTAAAATAGGACATTTCTGTGACTATCGTGCTTTTATTTTGACTTTAAAGACTTTCATGAATTTTAAACCTTTAGAGAACTGGTTGTGATGATTGATTCCATTGGATAATTCTCTTAAATTGTTTTAAACTGCATGTAGTCACCCATTGAAGAAATTAGACTGAAGGAAATAAACTTAATATTTTGTATATTTCTTATTTTACAGAAAATAAATACAGTTGGAACCAGTAATGCAGATATCCCTTTGGCTGATCCCGGAATGTACCAGTTGGACATCACGCTAAGAAGGGGTCAAAGTTTAGCTGCCCGGGATCGAGGAGGTAAAAATTTAAGAACAGTATCACCTAAACGCTTTTTCTGTGTGTTGTGACAGATTTTGTTTTCTTTATTTGGATTTAGAGATACTTTACTATGTGACAACCCCTCTGTTATGGGTATATATGTATAGAGGTGAGCATACATTCAAATAGGTGAGGTAGACATATGCATGGGTGTGCATAAGTTCACAAAGACGGTGGGTGCATTAACATGGATAAGGTATGCATTTGTATAACAGAGGCATATGTCCATAGTTGAGCATACTTTTACATAGGTGAGCATAGATTTATATGGGTGAGATACATTTTTACATAAGTGAGGCATACATTTATGTAGGTGAGATACCACTTATATAGGTGGGCATACATTTACAATGTGAGTATATACTTAGGTTAGGCATACAATTATATCAGTGATGCATATATTAACACAAGTGAGACAGGCACACATTCACATGGACAGGGCATACATTTACATGTGTGGGGTATACTTTAACATAGATGAAACATGCATTTATGTAAGTGAGTCTACATTTACATTGGTGACACATTTATTTGTTTAGGCAATCATACATTTACACAGATAAGGCATACATGTACATAGGCTAGACACAGGTTTACATAGGTGAACATACATGTACATAGATGGGGCATACATTTTTATAGGTGAGCATATGTTTACACTGGAAGCTTTGTCAGAAGTTGGCTTTTGGTAGAAAAGGCTCTTTGTTAACTGGATTCGATCAGTTCAATCTGCTGACATTGTGATGTCCGAGGCTAACATCGCCTCAAAACTTGGAGGTTCTTAGTAGCTGTCAGAAGCTTGGTTGAATGTCTACTTTCTGGTGGAGTATACAGAAATTTGTAGGTATTTCTAAGGGAAAAGAAAGTCAGTACCTTTTAGTTTGCAGATTCCAAGTGCATGGGCAACCACTTGATGAATTAGTCTGGGGCACACAAGAGCTTTCTAGACCCAGGGCAGAGACAGAATATGGCAAGTGTCTAATGAACTGGGGTGTGGATGTTGGACACGTGCTCTGCAGGATATAGAGACTCCGGAGGTCTGAGAAGCCCACACCTTCAGGATGCTAAGTACAGATGTACACCTCTCATTGGGAGGAATGACAGTTTCTACACCTATGCTAGCCCATCCTTGGATGCAGACAGTACCCGACCATATGATGCTTGTGCCTCTGCACCTCAATATGTGGAATGTCTAAGAAACAAGATTAGGGATGCAGTTTATCATTGCTATTTCTTGTCTCTAAATGATGAATTATTTAATGTAACATTGAATTTTTGTAACTACAAACTATAAACATGGGTTCAATTTTAAGTAAAAAAATTAAAAAAAAATTTTAAGTGAAAATAGTAAATGTCATAACATTCTTAATGAATGGAGAGTAAGAAAAATGTTAAAGTTTATGTAGAAGGGAAGCTTTTCAGAATTAAATGTCTGCTCAAGATGCTAAAGAGAAATATTTAATCATACTATCTCAGAAGTTGTACTCAGATTAGAGAAACAAAGGCAAATATCATAGTTAGCATCACTTAACACAACATTTTTATTATTCAAAGTGATCTCAAATTAAATTATTTGATCTAAAATACAATTAGACCAGGAAACAATAGCAAACTTTTAATCCCATGTCTGCTACTTATTGTAGCATTGTTTATTGTTATGTAATTATTGAAACAACAGAAATATGCTCAAACAGGTTAATAGTTGAAAAAACTATAGATCATCCACACAAGAGGATAGCCTGTAATTGTGAGGAAAAAAAAAAAGAGAGTAAGGAAAATGTCTAAAAGTTAATGTGGAAAATTTGACAAGATAAATTGTTAGATTCATGTAACCAAAGTTCAAAAGGATATCAGTTGAATGCAATATTTCTTGTAAGAAATTAAAAGCTATAATAAATTAGAGAGTCTGCTAATTTGTGCAAAAGAATATAGGAATAAAAAGTTAGACACTAATGAGATTTCTAACATTTTGACTATTGGTGAGACAAGGTGGCAAGAATAGGGATGAGAGTGAATAGGTAAAGAAAAAGTAGCCTTTTTCCAAGGGAATTCTTCTTCCAGTATAGTTCTTCCTAGACTGTATACCATAAAATAAAGGTAAAGGAAGCTATGCAGAAATATTATGTTTTAGACCATGATTGTCAATTTTGAAAATACTTAATAGGTACTCTAAGAACTAGCTAGTAAACAAGCAAATATGCTGTAGGTGCTGAGACACTAATTTCTCACAGTTGAAAAATGATGTATAAGTATAGAAAATGGACAATATAGACAAAATCCTGAGAAGTCACAGATAACAGTTTAAACTGTTATGTGTGTGTATTGAGATATATAGACATACAGATAGATAAAAGCGTGTATGTATGTTCTGAATCTGTCTGCAAATTAGGGCTAGAAACAATGGCAGGCATAATAACAAAAAGGTTATTAATACATGAAGGGTCCAAATCTTTGTTTCTAAATACAATTTCCCTAATTCAAGTGATCAGGATTTTTTGAGAAATTATTAATTGCAGACCTGGGTAGGAAAAGTGCAAGATGAGGTTGTTGGAACATTTTGCATTGACAAAAAGTAAAGAAGTGCTAAAAAAATGCTAGCAGGATGTCAAACATAGGAGCCACTTCAAAGAGACAAGTAATGACTATAAGTGAGCCAGTTTCAGCAAGAGTGTTAATGATGGTGATAATGTATGAACATAGGATGAAATGGATATATACCTTAATTATAAGTCAATTGAATACATGAGTAAGAGTGAGAGGAAGATTGCTTTTCTTGTGGTAGAAAGTCACCATTTAAGGACACTACGGCCATAACAATCCCAAGCACAAATCATACTAAAGTTGTATATGAAAAATTATAATGCAAAGCAGAGTATTTGGAACATTTCAAAGTCTATAGGTGAGGGAGAGACTGTCTTGGCCAAGTTGCAATTTACAGGTAGTTACCATTGGCAGTCATAAGATATGCAGGTAGCATTTGCTTCAGATAACATGCACTAAAAATGCATATTATGGCTATGGGTAATTGTGTCAAGAGGCTCAACATACTTAAAAATGTATATTCTTGGCAAACATGTCATTATAGGATACCATTTGCTTGAGCAAAACAATTTTGTTCTACACTTAAGACACTGTGTAGTCTTTCTCCCACCCTCTTTTTAGAATTATTAATGTATAGCCATTGTACATTGACGGATTTCATTATTAGATTTTCAAATGTGTATTATATGTGCTAGCATTCACCCATTACCCTGTCTTGAGTAGCGTATAAAATATACTAAATTCACATTTAAATCTAGATTTTCTTGTCCTACCATATCCTGTTTCACCACAGTTTCCAGTCTGGATTTCATGTGTACACAGTATATCTTTCTTATAGTAGCAAATTATTCTCAGATAGAAGTTGGAACAAGTTTCAGGAGAATGGGAGTGCTATGTATGTAAGGAAATATTACTGAGCAGGGAAGAAGGACAGATCATAGATTTAAAATACCAATTTCAACCTAACCCAGTCAGTTTTGTTCTTGGAAATTTTTTTCACTGTGTGTGTGTGTGTGTGTGTGTGTGTGTGTGTGTGTGTGTGTGTGTGTGTGTGTGTCTGTCTGTCTGTCTGCCTGTCTGTCTGTCTGTCTATATGTATGTATGTCTGAAAGTAGAGGCCTGATGTGGGTGCTAGCAATTGAACTATGGTTTTCTGTGACAGTAGCAAGTTCTCATGACTGCTGTTCTATTTGCTGCCTGTTGTTATGATGAAGACCATGACAAAAACCAATCTGGAGAGGAAAGGGTTCATTTGATGTATACAACTCCATCACAGTCCACCACTGGGAAAAACCAAAGCAGGCACTCAAGCAGGGCAGGAACCTGGAAGCAGGAACTGAAGCAGAGGCCATGGAGGGGAGCTGCTCATTGGCTTGCTTTCCAAGTATTACTAGCCTGCTTTCTTACACAGCCCAGGATTCCCCTGAATAGTTGGAACTGACACTGGATGACTTAAGAAAATATCCTCCTTAAACAGGGGGGAGTTCATGGACCCCAGACTGGTAACTGGGAAACCAGCATAGGACTGAACATGGGTGTCAGTTAGGAGGCCTGGGAAGTCTATGGGGCCTCTGGTAGTGGATCAGCATTTATCCCTAGTGTATGGACTTTGGGAGCCCTCTCCACCTAGAGTGATACTCTCTCAGCCTAGACACACAGGGAAGGGCGTAGGCCCTGCTCCAAATGGTATGACAGACTCTAAAGATAACCCATGGAAAGCCTCACCCTTCCTGGAGAGCAGAAAGGGGTTGGGATAGGGAATGGGGTGCAGAGGAAAAGGGGAGAGAGGGGGAACTGGGATTTTGACATGTAAAACAAGCTTGTTTCTAACTTAAATAAAAAATAAAATGTTCTATACACTTGCATGCATCTCAGTTGAGATTCTCTCTTCTCAGATGACCCTAAAACTGTGTCAAGTTGATTAAAAAAATACAAATAGCTAACTAGCCATCACAACAGCTGAGCCATTTCTCCTGCCCCAAAGAAAAGATATTTTTTTTTTTTAGGTAGAAGAAAAATTGAGTTAGTTTGTGATTGACTATCTTGAATAACAGATGCCTTGACAAATGAGTAGGTAATGCCAGGTTACATTAGATCTGTAATATAATATTGTGGTTAATTGATAGGACAACTAAATGGAGATGGAGAATTTAGGTCAAAGGGCAACTGGAAAGTCCTGGAGTTATGTAGGAGTATGGTTTTGATTAAGGACTTGAACTTGGAATTTTTAAAATGTATTTGGGTGATTTACTTGCTTGTATGTATGTGTACCACATATGTGTAGTGTCTGAGGAGCCCTAATGAGGCATTAGATCCTCATGGAATTGGAGTTACAAACTATTGTTAGCTGTCATTTAGGTGCTGGAAATAGAATCCTGGTTGTCTGGAAGCACGGGCAGTGCTCTTAACCACTGTGCCATCTCTCTAGCCCCTTAAAC